TGCAGCTAAATTCAAGGTATACAAGGACTGTTCTCAGCAATTTTGTTACAGTCAGACTAGGTAACAGTCAGTCTCAGTGCTGTATTTTAAAGATTATCCTCTCAAAATAGTTTATAAGGTGGGGAAAAACTTTTTTATTATCCTAAATAGAAAATATCCTAAGACACAGCCTAGCAATCATTTTTGCTTTCAGATCTGAAGATTTAGTGGAAAACCTGTGAATGTGCCTACTGTGGTGAGCGTGGGCTCTCAGATTGCCCAGGATGGGCAGGATTGGCAAGAAAAGCTCTTTAAATATCCCATTGCTCATGAGAGGTACCTGACGTACCCAGCTGAGGCACAGCAACTACTACTCTTCATTTACTGTAGGAGGTTTTGCACCTGCAGACAGCAAACTGTCCAAATCACTCGTTACTGTCATGAACTCAAACAAGATTGTAAAAGCTTGACTGTCTCAGGTACCACCACCAGAGTGATCAAATAATCCAGCCATGCACTAGCATTTCCAGAATACGGCAGCCACTAATAATGGTTTTGCTATATAATGACCTATTTTAGATAGATACATACACACACACAGAGATTTATGTATATTTCATATTAAAATAATGGTAGGACATTGCTTTAGAAATTGTGGTTGTCTCTGTTTCCATCTGCAAATTCTGACATCGCGTCTTGAGAATTTGTCCCTATTTCTACTCTGCATCTTTCACCTTTTGCTGCTGTTGAGCTGACTCAGGATCAAATCACCAGCAAACCCCACCTTCACCTAATTCTTCAGCACTCTCTATGGAGGAGGAGGAAGGAGGAAAAAGGAAAAGAAAAAGAAATAAAACTGTCCCTTTAAAAACCCAAGCATTTAAGCTGCCTGTCAGTTGTCTTCCTGACAAGGCCACTTGAATGTATTCAGGAATATTTGCATAAATGCTCACAGTGAGTTCACCGTGGCAGCTAGCGCTAATGGTACATAAAGTAATTTAGTCACTTCTCTTAGGCATCCTGTCAGGGTGATAAGCACCCCCTCTTTGCCTTGTTGCATATTAGATCATTAGATAATAAAGTGTTAGAGCATGCAAACTGACAGGGTCTCAGGGACTATCATTTTTCGAGGGCATTGCATTCTGCCAGTGAGGAAAAATAATAGAGAAACTGATGCTGCAATTGGCTTTACATTCTTGCAAAGCCATACAAAGATTTGGGGGAAAAAAGAATTTTTGCTTTGCAGCGATATGAGAGTTTTAACTGGAAACTTTGCAGCCATCTACAGTGGTGGGCTTCATGCTGGTAAACTTGAAAAGGGTTGTTGCAAACCCTGTCAGAATTCCCCCCTTCCATAAGCTACTCACTTAAATTGCATTGGAAAGATTTTGCTTTTAAAACTGACACCCTGGGATGAACTACAAGTGAAATATATTCTACTGGTTGGGGCCTATTGGCTCTTCACTATACATCTTACTATATACGTACAATTTAGAAAGGTCAACCACGCTGGCTTTCTGGTTTACCATAAATATAAAACAAGTGAGGATCCAACTATTTGTGAATGAAAAAGTGATAATTATTGAAAACCACCGATTACTGTGGCTTACCCTATTTATACCACACAGAGATGTATGAAATAATTGGCCTCTGCCAGCTATTAGTTTTGAAAGACATATATATTTATTTGAAATACGAGCTTCTTAACCCACCGGTTTCAAGGAGGACAGTGTGTGGATATGAAACCATGATCTAGGTTCCTAGTTATATTCAGGAAGACAAGCTACGAAAAGGAACTTTCATTTTACTGTCTGACAAGCAAGATATAAATAGAGATGTGTTGGATGTCCCAAAAATAATCCAGGATACCTGCTAATGAGATGGTAAAACCCGAATGTGGAGACACCAGGCTCCTGAGTAGCTAGAGAGGTAAAGCTTTCTTTCCAGCTTTTTGGCACCCAAAGTCTCTTTTAGATGTCACATAAACTGCAGCTCCATGTTTAAGAGCAGCATGTCCCAACACAAATTTGTAAGGAAAAATAAGCTGGATGTTGGCTAACTAAACTAGGCAACCGGCATCCCTTCTTACTACATCCCCTCTCCCCTTTCCCCAGTCCTCACACAGTCAGGCATTCATCTCTCTTGCAATTGGATACTTGTGTTAAAGAGTTAAAACAGCTGGAAAAGGACATGGGAATACATTTGGTGAAGGGCATATTATATTTAGATCCCAGCATTTAAAAACCTATGATCAGGAGTTGCTCACCAGAGCAATAAACCAGAGACAAACTAGCCATGACTGTCTTAGCTTCCCATTTCACTGTTTACAGATACTGCCCAGGTCACTCTGCCCTCCCCTTGCGGGAGGCAGAAAAGCTGGAAAGACAAAATGCAAAAAACTGTCTCTGCTACTTACACTTCAAGGTACTATCCAAGATAAAAATTCCAGAAGCTGAAGAAAGATAATATACTTTGGGACTCAAACTAAAAGTAAAAATTAATTTCAGTGGAGGAAACTGTCATCTGTTCTAACGGGTCTAAGGTTCATGGTGCTTGCCCAAAATTCAATAGCATTAAGCCCAGTTGAGACACTTCCTTTTTTTTTTTTTTCATTCAGTTAGGTGTTTTAGACATCTGATGGAAGGATTTTGGTTAAAAAGAAAGGGTCCACCAAGCCTTTGGGAAGAGTGTGATTTTGTAGCGTGGAGGTTGCTGTTCAAAAGTAAGAATTTACTAGCGGTTACTTTATGAGGTTGCTTGAGAGGTGCCTGAGAAAGTAGATTAGAAAAATCACCTTTCCCACAAAATGTACGCATGGAGATGTTTTGCAGATGTTGACTTTTAATGTTAGCTCAGCAACTAGGGTTTGTGAAGATATGTAAGCATAGCATTATCTTCTTTTGTTTCTTTTTGCTAACAGAATCCCTGAGGTAGTGGGAGCAGGAACGATAGCTGTGGTAAAATGAGATGCTATTACACCACGCATGCAATTAAGAACATTCATGTTTGAGAATGTAAATATTGCCTTGACCAAAAGCGTGCCCTGAAAAGACTGCAATGGGGAAAAGAAAAAAAAAACAAAACAAAACAGGGAAGGTTGGCATCTACTTCAGTAGGAATGTAAGTAAAAAATAGAAGTGTCTTTTTGAAAGACTAGACTTAATGGAAAGATTACAAAGTTGAAGAGAGAGAAGTTTCCCTTTGTAATGTTCTGCTTTCTGCTAATTAATAAAGACAGAGTTTGTACATTCCTTATGAAAATTCAGCAAAAATTATGACAGTGGTTTGTTTATTAAATTAGGTTGTTGGCAGGATGAAAAAAAAATGCTATAACATGAATTATGGCTGAAAATGGCTCATAGCCTACATAAAAAGTTAGAGCTAAATAAATACAGATGTAAGTTATGTTTATATAATGAGAAACGCTGCTGAGCTAAGAATTTTAGGTTAGTAAGTGTGAACTACAGACCCGATTCTGCAAACACTTATCAATACCCTCAACTTTACTGACACAAGAAGCCTCATTGATCCCAACAGGACCATATGTGCACATAATCTTAAATATATGCATAAGTGCTTGCAGTACTGATGCCTGAAAGCATAAACAAAATAGAAAGCTATTTCCCCAGGAATCCACCAAGTAGTAGAAACCCACACATTTGCCCATTTCTCAGATTTAATAATTTCTTTGAACATATCTAGTTAACATTTTTCTGAGTGGCATTCACTTTCCCAGAGAAAAATTTATCTGGTTTTTTCAAACTCCTTGGAAAAATCTATTTAATTATTCATCAGATCCTTGGCAAATATTTGTGAAACAAGACAGCATAAAGGACTGGTGCCTTCTACACTCAGCTACTTCAGTGGAAGCTGAGGGTGCACGTCTCTTAGTGGGAGCAAGCACCTATTGAATTTAGGATTACAAACAGCTTTGAAGACAAAGAGCTATTCTACCGAGCTGGAACAGGGAGAGGGGAGTGAAATGCCCTCTGTTTTTGTTTTGTTTTTCAGTAGTAGTCATCAACTTTGAGGACAAAGAGCAAACCAAAACATTAATCAAATCCAGATTTTTCAAAGTACATTTGCACTCAACAACTCCCATTTTAAGCACCTACAGTTACCAGCAGATGTTCTCCTCCAGGACCAGCTGATCTTACAGAAAAGTTTGCTGTCCCCCAGGCTGCTTCCAGCCACGTGCCTCCACCCCACCCTTGCTGGGGTTTACTGTCCCTTCAGAAAAGCCAGACAAATTGCCTTGCACCATTTCTCCTTCAATCATTTCAAGCAAAATAAGCTAGATTGACAAAGAGTTATTATTTAAACAGTTTAACTCAAATGAACTTCTTTGGACTGAAGGAGACTAGGGAGCAATCAGACAACCATCTTAGCTGGCATGTCCGTGGTGGAGAATAGCCTGCAGCAGGGAGGAGAGACAAGCAGCTGTGGCATGCAGGGAAGAGCAACTTCCTCAGCTGGCACAGCTGGAGCCAGAAGAGTCCATGGCTTGAGTAAGCAGATGGATTTCCAGAAAGGCTCTGCTTTTATTTAGGGCAATTCAAAGGAACAGATGAATCTCCCAGGGAGCTCAGCAGATCTATAGACAGAAGAAATCCAACCTGAAATTTAGGTGCTGAGCACTTCAGAATACATGCAACGTCCTTTAGGTCAAAAATCAAGGCAATTTGGAAAAGATCAGACTCCAATTTTGGGTGCTGAATAGATGCAACCAAAATTAAAAAAAAAGAAGTCACCGCATTTCACTGACACACAGGACAGACTCTGCACCCATGTTTGCCTACTGGTTTGTCATTTCACTACACTTAGTGCTGACCTACTTCAAAAATTCCCCCTTTGGTCTGGAGGCCAGTCTCTAAAATAGCCAGTCCCAAAGGTATAAACGGTTTTACAGGACAATTCGAATCCAGTAGCCAGAGACACAAACCAAATAAATCCACATTTAAAGTAGCAATGCCAACCAATGAAAATGATATGCCTACCATGTTCCAGATAAGAAGGCGTACCTTCCGAGGGATCGAGTCTTCGAGCTCTCCGCCCGTGCTTGGAATTGTTGTGTACAAACATATTGTCCGACACTGCCAACACATGGCCATCAACATTGACTGTTGTAGACACCACAACCTGCAAGCACAAGAGCAAAATGGAGGAAAATTTGGATATATATGTATGTTTTTTAAAGAAGCACAGAGTGTAATAAACTCAGTTAAATAAATAACAGCTGGGAGCTGTAGAAAATTGCATAGCTATTTCGCATAATAACTGGTGCTTATGCTGTACAAATCTAACAAGAGATGCTATTGATGAGTGGGTCTTTGGCATCACAGCTTTTGATGCAGTTTTAAGTTAAATTGCGGAGTTTGTAGCTGCATGGCAGACAGCACACTGTTAACCATCATTTTAACAAGAAGATCTTTATTAAGTACCTTTTCCCCTATATACAAGGGCAGCTGTGTTTCACCCTAAATTATCCTTCAGTTTCCATGCTGAAGTAGATAGAGCTGTTGACATTGCAAATGAGAATCGATTCAGAATAAAAGAAAACAAAAGTGTATTTTGTGAAGTTGCAATGAGAGTTGTTGCATGCCTCCCCCCACCCTTCTCTACTGCTCTCCCCTCAACTACAGGTTGTTGAACTTGCCCAAATTTCTCCCGAGCTCTATCTCAGGGAGTACGTATGGGTATGTTTGTGTACACACGCACGCTTGACAGTGGGGTCTTGATCTGGAGAACACAACCCTATTCATCCAGCATTAGAATTATTTGTATTTCTCAACTTATCGCAATGTCAACACTCAGGTTTTGGTTTGAGGTGAGGAGAGGGAGACAGAGAAGCGCTGCCCTGGAGGCAGGATTCGACACTTCTGCTCCCCAGAGCAGCCCAGAACAGGAGAGGAGCCAACCCAGCAGGGGCAAACAGGTAAGTGTTGGGTCCAGCCTAGAAGACCCAACTGCTGTGTTCCCCAGGGACTTCTCAACCTTAAGGCTCAGCAGGTAACATCCTATAGGAAATCCCTGTTCAGGCTGAGGGTGCCAGAGCCATGAACCGTGGTGGAGGAAAGGGGGGAGATGCACGGGCAAGTCCCTCGCAGAGCTGTGAGCTCACCACACCAGGTCTCCTCCCACCCCACCCAGACCAAGCGACCTCATAGCCTCCCTGGCTTTCATTCAGCCACCCCCTCCCACAGCCTTTTCCCAGTAAAGTACAGCATTCCCAGGGTTTTACCCCAGCTAAAGATTTGGCCTTCAGCTGGCTGCTGGTTTGCCAGGAGCACGCGTCGCCTTCAAGAACTTCAACTAAAACAATAAGAAGAAATGACCTACACTTCTCCTTACATTAAACAGGGAAAGGGATTAAAAACTGAAACCCACAGAGATATGTTTATTCATGCGACCTCTTACAACCAAATATAATAATTGTCTGTTAATTGCAGTTTCAGCTCCCACCTCATGCTTCGACATGTGAAACAGCAATCAGCAGCTCCTGTTTAATCCACCTATTATGTTGACTAATTAACTTTGCTCGACAGTTTATTTCTTCCTCCATTATCAGCCCCTGTCAGCCGCAAGCACACTGCCGCAAAGGGGGACCTCAGCCCTTTTGATTGATCACCGATAGATTGACATGCAGATTAATTTAATTAGAATCACCTCACTTGAGAAATGAAAGACAATGGCAAGGGGGCTAATAGATCTGCTCTTATAATGAGGCAAGCCTCCAGAGCCGCGGCAGAGGATTTCTGATTTATTTTGCTGAATTCCCCAGTCGCTCTGAAAGGCTCTTGCTTTAATTGTTCTTGGTTTTGAGAGGCTTTAGCCTCTGAAGAGGTGAAATGCTTTACAAGGATTGGCAAACATTGCTTCAACTCTCTCAGGAAGCTGCTGCCTCTCAAAGTTGGTCAAATGGGGACACTTAAAGGATCGCTTACAACAATTCAATTTCATCACTTGAATTGGATCTAAAAAAAAGTTAAAGAAAAAATTTCCCACCTATTTCTAGTCACTGATTAAAATGCTCAAAAATATAAAGTAAGCAACTGCTAAATTGCCCATAGCTAATCCTGAAGTCTTTGTCTTTAAAAAGAGGAATACAAAAGAGAACAGTTTACATCTAAAGGATCCTAAAGCCATCCCTCAGAATGGCATTCCAGGCAATAGATTTTTGTGCGTGTTTTAAGTGAAAGATATTAAAATACGGAATAAATGATTCAAGAGCTCTTACAGATGGAAATTTGGGAAAAAGAAAGCACCAAACACTGTAGGTAAGTTTTTCTGAAATCAAACTAAGGGCAAAAAAACCCCAAGCCCTATATATAAAATTCCAAAAGGGATTTCAAAAGTAATTTATCCATTGCATTCCTGAGGGATAGAATAAAGTTTATGATATTTTCAATAAAATATGATCTTATAGTAAGTGGCTCAGGGTTTGCAATCTTATTTGTGCACTTGCAACCATTGTAAATTCTTTGCAACTGGGATTTTGAGCCAAATCCTCAGCTGGCATTGCCTGCCACAGCTCCACGATTTATGCCAGCTCCTTATCTTTTAGTATGGGTCTGCTTAGATGCATATGAAAATTAACACTGTTACAATTAATAACAATGGCTAAAACATAAAATATTTTCCCCAATCCTAAAACCATATAGGTATGCACAGATTTCCCACTGAAGCTGATCAACCCTGTGCTGAAACCCAAACTTTTGGATGTTTCTAGAAATAGGATTCCAGAAAAATAACGGGTCAAGAGTAATAATAGCAAGTTAGGTCTCAAACCTGTGAAAAATGTGTATATTTAAGTAGCTGCCTTTATACATGCAGTTTTCTAGGGAAGAACTCAAGGAAACAATCCTAGTGAGGTCAGTTTTATGCGAGTAAATCTACATTTAATTTTCCCCCTCAGGTTTCCAAAAGTGTTGATGCAACATATTTTGAATTACTTAACAGTGTCTTCCTACCTACCTCCTGAACAGAGAGTTTGATTTACTACAAAGAGACCACATTGGTGTGGTTCTTCGGTGTCGTTAGCAGAAGAAACTATAAAAGGAATCCCCAAGAGAAACTGTTTCCAGTCTCAGGAAATGCAGAAAAAAAAGTGGTTACTTTATGTATCTGTATGAAAAAAAAATTATTATTCATAGTGCACCTGTAAGAAGCAGCACATGATTACCGCTTAATTCTTTAAATGCAAAATCCCATTAATACAGGAATACTGAAAACACAATGCACTAACAAAATATTAATGCCCCTAATTATTAACAGAGAAAAAAATACACCTTGAATACTGTGTGCGCCACGGTTACATACTTGGATCGCTACAGAGCACTTACATACTTACAAGTTCTACTCATATTTTTTAATCTAAAAAAATACTACACTCTCCTCATTTTGATTTTGAAATGACTGTTCAAGTTAAAGCACATGCTAAAACTAATTTGTGGAGAAATCATAAAATTAGGGGGAGGGGAGAGCCAAAGTATATGTGGAATGGGCACTGAGGCATCCTAAAACACAGAGACCATAGCAAGAGGGAAAGGCACACTACAGTTTAATAAATGATTAATGAGGTGCTGACACATTAATGTAAGCACAGGGACAACCAGGCCTGCCAAATCTCAAACCTTTCCAAATTTTGTCAACAAAACACAGTTTTAATTTGGGACAGGCAAACATGGAAAATGATTTTGAGCTTTAGCTTTATCCCTTCATAGATTTTGAATTTAAACCCTGTATCAACACCAGGGGAGACAGAGGTATGAAAGAAACACATCGGTTTACAACTTTCTTCAATGAAGTTGGCACTATCAACTGTATTAACATATCATGGCTCTGTGAATTATTCTGCCTGCCATTAAATAGCTCAGCTTGTGAATACTTTGGAGCTTAGTTTAAAAAAAAAAAAAATTCAGAGACCAGGAGCCTGGAGATCAAGCTATTTATCCACGTTTAGCACTCGGCCTGTTTATTTGTTATAGTACCTCACCTAATATATCAAAATTAAGCATTGCATGACTCCTCATTTTTAACCACAGCCCATTAAGCTTTGCTAACTGATTAAGACATAGCATGTTCCTTGTGCTTTTAATTTTCACCGATGTATGTTGAGGGACCTGATATTTTTGCCATGTCCCCAACATCCAGTGGCAAAGGCAGAGAACATCTAATTAAGATGATTCCCAGGTTTAAAGTGTGTCATGCACGTTAAACTGGTAACTCCTGTGTTTGCTGCTGTTTGAAAGCTATGCAGAAATGGCTGGAGCAACATCTTTATTTTCATCTCGACTTGGTGACCTCTTCCTACAATGTGTTGACTTCTTCATTCTAGTAAATAAAAATCAGTCTCGATTTAACAAGATGCTTAAAAGAGTGCCTAACTTAAAGCACCTAAGTACAATACATTCAGTAACTTTGCTCATGTACCCGAGGACAGGCTGGGCACTTAATTACCTTGTTGAATTGGGCCACAGAGCGCTCTGCTATTTTTCAGCCTTTTTTTTTTTTTTAGCATTTCCCTTCTCTGGGGATGGAGCCTTGCATGTCCAAATTCCATTATCTGGGATTCATGAGGCATCATCTCTGTCTCTTATGCAAATTTGCAATAAGACACAAGTGGCTTCAATTCAAACATGAGTGGCAGCGTCCCATGGAGGCAAACTAGCAGCCTAGGCTGAAGGAAGAGGTTGTGGTAACAGAATCAAACAGTATGGCAATTTCTAAGAGACCTTCAAGGTTCTCATAATAAATGCATATTTGGGGTTTTATGCAGTGACTCGGTCTGAAAAGTTTCCTCTAAATTAAAACTTGACATGTGTCAGTTTGCAAGCAGTTGTGCTGAAACAAGAACAAGATAACTAGGGCACCTGGGTTTCATTAATTGCAATAACATACAAAACTGTTTAGGTTGTATCAATGAGTTTTTCGTGCTGAAAAAGAAAATCTGAGCAGAGTTCACCCATGATACCATATTGTTGTTGTCATTATTATTATTATTATCATTACCACTAATTGGGGAACTACAGCCCACCCCACCAAGACTGATGACTTATTGTGATGAAGCATGCAAAACCGGACCAGAGCATCCAGTCCATGGGCTTTCTGGAATAAAAAGGCAAGGTTGGACAAAGGTGACAATACATGCTATCATCAAATGTTTTGTGCAATTGGGCTGATGAAACACACAGAGATAAAACTATTTTCTTAAGGACAAGGAGGGAGTCTGCAGGACAGTTGAACACTCAATCATCTTGGATCCCTGCATAGGACTTGACTTCCCCGCTCTGACTGTCTCTTTCTGCTAATAGAGACACAACCAACACAGCCGGGGCCAGCACTGTTCCAGCACACACTTTTACTGGCACTTGACACCACTCCAGTTGCCTCAAGCCTGGACATCTCAGACATGCAGAGAAATGCATTTCCTTCCAGGCCCACAACTGCTTTTATGTTAGGCTTATCACACGACTACATTTGCACACAAGTTCAGAATAAAAATTCCTAATTCTTTCCTGTGTGTGAGTCTGAATGAAGTTTCACACACAGGTTGCCTGAATCAACACATACTCTGCCTCTTCCCTCTACTTTCTTAATCTCTCTATACCATATGATAAGCAGACAATCCCCTGCTGCTGGGAAGAAAAAAAAAAAAAAAAAAAAAACACCAAAAAAAAAAAAAAAAAAAGAAATTTTTTGGAG